GATACGCCATCGACGAGGAGGCGAATGTGCCTATAACGAAGTGGACAGAGCCGGAAAGCCCTGAGGATGCCACGGCGGAGCAGATAAAGGAAGCACAAGCGGTGACAGGCGCATTATTGTGGTTGTCGACGCAAACACGACCTGATATTGCATATGTTGTGGCACGATGCGGGCAACAGGCGACGAAATCACCTTTGCTCTCGATTGCGTTGGGCCGCCAAGCTCTTGCATACTTGAAGACGACAATGGAAATGGGGATAGATGTGCCTTTTCAGCTTGGTGATACCTTTAAGAACCATGGTCTTTTGTCGCTGCCGCGCACGGATAAAGTGTTGGAGGTGTATACCGATGCTTCACACAGCCCTGGAGGGGAGCGTTCGATGCAAGCCATTTTTGTAGTGTGGTGCAGTGTGCCCTTAGCCTGGGAAGTGACGAGGCAGCCATTCGTGACTTTGAGCAGTGCGGAGTCAGAGCTGGTGGCCATGGTGGTCGGAATCCAGAGAGGGGAAGCAATCCAGCCCCTCATCGAGGAGGCCGTGGAGGCTGACTCGGTGATTTCACTATTAGCGGACAACGAAGCCGCCCTCCGAAGTTTTGAAACGTCGCCAAGCGGCTGGCGTAACAGACACCTTCGTATGAGAGCACATGCTGCTCGAGAACGAATCTCCTCTAATATATTACGAGTGTCGCATATGCCGGGAGAGCAGTTGGTGGCGGATTTAGGAACGAAACCGATGCCCCGTTCCCGTATCCTTAAACTCTTAGACCTCATCAACATTAGGATTCGGGTGTCTAGTGAGGGTTCGGAAGGGGATGCTCGTATGCTTAGTCGGCTGAGTCTTGGGGGGGGTGATTCTCTAGAAGTTACGGCCAAAACCGTGGCAGGTCTGGTCCTTTTGGCTATGCTGCCTCGTGTGAAGGGGCAACCTTTTGAAGGCCAGATTGAGGCGGCTTCGGGCTGGATTTCGTGGGTGTTGGGGATCCTAGTTTCCGTGTGCCTAGGCTGCTGGGGTTGGGTTTGGCTTTACGGGGCCCAGGGGTTTAGTGCAGGAGATCCTTCGGAAGGCCGTGAAGTTGAGCCGGTCGAATCAGAAGCGGTAGCCTTGAATGCGATTGAAGCTAGCGATGAAGCATCCGGAAGCCGTACAGAAGCCGAGCCAGCGGGTGATGATGATACTTTCAGTGAGTCCGAGTGGGCTACCGCGCAGGCTAAGTTTGAAGCCATGGAAAGGGAGTCGGGGCTTACCTTTGTTCAGAGGGCGAGGATTAGGAGGGTCCTTGAGTCAGGCGGGGTTTTGGAGCCTCCGGTGTTCATGAACAGGTTTGGACCGTCCCCGTCCTGGTTCACAGGGCTGGAAGTACCTAGTGAAGAGCAGGCCCAGGATGAGGATACTGCAACTGTAGGAGCGCCGGTAAGTGATTCTGCGGATAGGGAGGCGAGCCCAGTTTTTTCGGGCCTCGATGGTTCGGGGTTTTTAATTTGGTTGTTAGGATTCTGCGGGAGTGAACTAGCTGTCCTTCTGGGAGTGCAAGCTAGGGAATGGGCAGAGCTAGGAGGTGCCTCTCGAGGGTTTAGGTCGGAGTCCACGGTTGGCTTGTTGCGACGTCTTCGGGATACTGGGATGTATGTAGGAGATTTTCCGGGTCAAGTAGAGGCCACTTTTGCGTTTCAAGGACTTGGGGCTGGCTGGAGACCCGTGAGTTTATCAACAGACGGCTTGACTCAGTGGAGTTCGGACTCTCAAGGTCCTGGGGATTCCAACGGTCAGATCGGGGGGAGTTCCAGTGTTCAGAATGTGAGTTCAGGCTCTCAAGGTCATGGGGATTCCAGTGGTCAGATCGGGGGGAGTTCCAGCGCGCAGCTAGTTGATTCTGTACCGTCACCCAATGTGCAGGTGGGCGGTAGTTCTAGCAGTCATGGTATGACAGCGGCTCCAATGCAGGGATTATGCTATGAAGACTACCAAGGTGATGCCATGTTGGTTGATAGGTTTCCGTACGTGGGCTCCTGGATGTCGGTCCATTACTTGCTCCATGTGTTTTCTCAAGTTGGAGGGCAAGTTTTGTGGGCTTTAGGAGAGAGAGCTTCCGAGTGGAGACATCTTCGGGTGGTGTCAGTTGGAGTACGGTATGCCCTATATGCTGCTGTGGCGGAAGTTATGAGGCAGGGCCCTTTTGCTCTGGTATTCGATTCTCCTCAATGGCAGATAGCTGTGGAGGAGTTTATCACCACGGGCCATTTGGGGTCACATGTGGAGACCTCTAACCAGGTGCCCGGTAGTTGTGCCGAGACCCTGCGGGTGTCTCGTTTTCCGTATGTTGAAGGTCCCCCTCGAATGGTAGCTCACTATCTTTGGCGAGTGTTCATGGTATGCGGATGGTGTGTACTGGATCTTCTGGGAGACCGAGTATCGTCTTGGAGATTTCTCAGGGCAGTGGCACCAGGTTTTCGGAGCAGTGTTACGTTGGCACTTACGGTGTGGCTACGCCAGAGGTGGCCCCTTTATGTAGCTCCTTCGCAAGATACCTTTGATGCTGCCACCGCTTACATGAATACTGGTGAGGTTCACTATCCATTTGGTTCCAGCGAGGTTGGGGATCAGGTGCAGGTGGATGATGAGGTTGATGATGATGGTTCGATCGATGAGAGGCCTCTTAGGCCCCGCGATGAGCCTGGTGGATGGGCTGGTCGGTTTGCGCCGTTGGCACAAGAATTGCTCGAGTCCTCGGAATCAGAGGATTCGGGAATGTCTACAGTCGAGCCTTCAGTTGTGTCAGCCAGTGAAGCGAGTAGTTCGAGCGGGTTCTGTGTGAATCGATCTGCTGATCTCGAGGGTCGTGTGTCGCCCGAAGCGGCACAATCGGCCGGGCCTCACTACGAAGCCCGCGAAGGAACGTTAGTGTGTACGTATCTTGATGATACAGTTTGGGTTCCTGTTGAGGGCTGGAGTCAGGCTGAGATCGAGACTGTCGCTCAAGGGCTGAATACGGGTGATTGGGAAGCCTTTCAGGGTTTAGTTTCTCCTGTCGGTGATGCCCTGACCGTTGGAGCTGAGATGCCTAGCGGGAGTTCGGATAGCCCTCGATATGCTACGGGACACCTAGGAGGGGCTTTGAGGATCCCTCGCAGTGTGCTGATCTGGGTGCTCCTGGTGTTATGGTTCTGCTGTGGTTGCATTAAGGCGGTTGCAGCGGAAGCGGTTTCTGGGGATCATTCAGGTTCAGGCTGTGAGGCACCATTGATGCAGCAGGCAGTTCAAGTGCGGCCTCGAGCTCAAGATGTGGATTTACCCGGGGAGGACCAGGGGCTAGGATGTGATGGATCAACGATGTGGGAGATAGGTCGGTGCCTTCTTGTTATCCTGACTTGGGAGTTCTGTAGGCTCATTGTCGTCAGGGCTTGTCGTGCTAAAAGGGCGCGAGCGGAGGCCTTTTGTCAAACTGGGTCGATGGATGTGGTCCCCATGCCTCTAAGTGAGAGTGTACCGCATCGTGGTCGCATACTGTTTTGTTTTTGGCGTGCGGGATTGCAGATCGACGTTGAGCCTTATAACGACAGGGTGAAGTCGGAATTCCATTGGTTGGTAGGGGACTACTTAGAGCGGGTTGAGATTGGGTTGGTTTCTGAAGAGGAGTCCGACTAAAAAACCTGCCCCGTGGTTTAGGGAAATAGGAAGGAAGCTGATCGTTCTGGAGGAGCTGTTGGCTTGTCCTTCGAATCTTGACAGCTTTGGGTTACCGGGGATGATACCTTGGAGTAGTCTCTAGCCAGTAGCGCTAGGCCCCATTTTAGAGTCCTGAGATCATAAAGTGATGTTAGGATTGGGTCTAAGGTGTTGTCCTAACCGGCGTTTGAATAGTGTAGTTTGGGATGCCAGAGAGCTCGGGTATGAGTGCCTTCGAAGAAGGTAGCCTGTTGTATAGTACAGGCGATCGTAATGGAGCTCACTTTCATTCTGGCTTTTGTCCCTTGGTATCAGCCGAAGGAGTGGGTACAGATGAGCTTAGAGCTTATACTGGGGTTACTTTTCCGTAGAAGGCTTTTCGGGTCCCGATGATTTCCACCCATCCTTTGGAAGGTTAGGTGGAAAGGGGGAGTGCGTGAAGCTGACCCCAGGATGCAGACCGCTTCGTCCGACGTCAAGGCTGTTTTTGTTCGAGGAAAAAAGATTGGGCGTTGAAGGAGCGCTCTTCTAGCATTCGTTGTGACATTGAGATTCCGAGTTCTTCATTCAATCATTGCGAGGATCTTGGTTATCATTAAGGGTTTATCTCACGTATCTAGGGTTTAAGGTTTAGGGTTTTTAGGGTGAGGGGTTCCTTTAAGGGGTTCCTTTAAGGGTTCCTTTACGGGGTTCCTTTAAGGGTTCCTTTAAGCGGTTCCTTTAAGGGGCTCCTTTAAGGTTTCGTTTAAAGGTTCCGTTAAGGGGTTCGTTTAAGGGGTTCCTTTAAGGTTCCTTGCAGGTGATTTCTAAGGGTTGAGGGTTTATAGGGTTTGGAGTTTAGGGCTTTGGGTCTAGGATTTATGCTTTGGACTTTTGGGTATCGGGTGTAGAGCTTAGGGCTCAGGGTTTAGCGGCCGGAACAAGTTCATATGGTTCCTGGAGTTTCTTTCTATAGATGTAATATGACATACTCGATAACCCTCTTGGACTCATGAAGGCCTTGCTTGTATTAGCAAAGTCTTTGGAATGTATTTTCAGATCTGAAGACGGGTGGCTACGGGGGGTCAGCATTTCTCGGGGTTTTGCGCAGCCGGGTTCAAGGTTCGTGGTTTGGAGGTTGGGGGCTTGTCAAAGATGCCATGCTTTTGGGTTCACGGTTCAGCACTTTACATCCTTTAAATTCTACACCCCAAAACCTGACCCAGAGACTCCAATATGCCTCAATTGAGGAATATTCCTTAAGTCATATCAGGGGCCTGTACTGCAGTTTAAGGTATATTCCTTAATTAAGGGATATTGGAGTCTCTGGGCAAGCCGACCTCTTTTCGCCGGCAGGTTGTGATCAAGAGCACCTTCCTGGATGTGGAGGACCCCTGCGACTTTTCCCAAACGCCTCATGAGATTGCTTCATGATAATATGCTGCAAAAGCGCCCCTGACAAGAAGACATCCTTGTCTGTGGACTCGACCACGGAAGAAAATCGTGAGATCCGAGGGATTGCGCACACCCTAAACCTCTAAACCCGGCACGCCGCATCCAACCTCGGTACCCACACCTCATGGTGGGAAGCCAAGTCCGAGAAGGTTTAGGGTTTAGTGTTAATTCCTAGACTCTAAACCCCCAGTCCCGTACCACAGATGCCGAATCTTCAGATAATATAAGCGTAGTCATAATTCACAAAAGTGGTTCCTTATGAACTATACCAGGAGATACCCCAAAACCCTTTTCTAATTATTCGTTGATGCACGAGTCGTCGTCATACTTTGACTTTGCTCGCGACCGGCTCTCGCCCGGATCACCCCAACGCCCAGTTTTAAGCTATAAGGCCCTCGGCCCACCTGTTCTATTGGGGCATCCACCTGCGTTATGACAAGACTGACAAAGGTGGGTGTATACAGGCTTTATGACTTTATGGTTTTGCATTCAGCCGAAACAACATTATATTTTTTTGTTTATTATTATTATTATTACTACATATTTGATTTTTTGGGGGGGTTCTGAACCTTACTATGGTTTCTTTCTATGACTCCCAAAAACAAGCAGGTTTTGGGGGCCACAGGTCCCAGCCCCTAAACCCTGAACCTCCCAAACTCTACACCCTCTACAGGCTTTAGGCTTGTAAGGTTTGGGTTTTCGGGTTTCGGTTTCGAGGGTTGAAGAACAAAAAAGGCTGCAGCCTGGAAGCCTTCCGGGGAGGGGGGGGGTCCTAAACGTTTGGGAAGCCCTTAGCCGTTAATCACTTAGTGTGCTATACTATGCTGTAGTATGTTATATGGATATTCTACTCTACTCTATTCCATGGCAGTATGTTCTAGTAGTAGGTTCTTCTCAGCTATAAGGTACTATTGTTAGATCCGTATCAAATTGCATCAGGTGTTTAACATTCAGTACTCCAATATGCCATTAGTCATGTTTGGTTATACTTTTCTATTTAAGATGATCTCATACTATTCCTCCCCTCCCGGAATTTCGAAGCCGGTAAGCCGCCAAGACCCCTAAATCCCTAAACCCTAAAACGCTAAACCCTAAACTCTACACCTTTTTGGCGACTGGGGAAGGAGTGCCCGAGCCTGACCAAGCGCTTCCGAACCCTTCGGAAAGTCGCGGAGCTTCAAGAAGAGCTTGGTGTTCGTTTTTGGGTGTTTGCTAAAGGGGTTTATAGGGTTCCTTTAAAGGGGATCTATAGGGGCTTATAGGGCTCCGTAAAAATGTTTAGGGTTTAGGGGTTCAGGATTTGGGGTTTAGGGTTTAGTTACTCGGCCTTTATTTCTTTCCGTTAAGTTGTTATAGGGTTTTTTTAGGTTTCATTCAAGTATTACTATACCTTTACCCTTTTTATGGCAATGCTGCTATAGGGTTCAGCTAGGTTGTTTTAGAATCTTATTAGGCTCGGCAGCGTTTTGTGTGGGTTTTCTCACAGGATTTATTTGGCTTGGCATATGAGGGTCTCGGACTTCAGTTACTTTCGCTTGAGGTTTGGGGATGGGAAGAGTTTAGCTTTTGCAGGTTTTGGGCTTAAGGGTTTAAGGTTTAGGGTTTAGGGTCTAAGGTCCTAGGGTTCAAGGTTGCTTTGAATCCCTTTGCAATACACACTACTCTATCCACTTACGAGCCTGGTGGTAGCCTCGGCACAGAGGGATTGCTAGGGCATTAGCCTCATCACTGCATGGAAGTTACAGGGCCATTTCCGAGGGTCCCTGCAGCCCTCATTGCTTTTCAGTTTGCTGATCGATGCATGCTTTACCCTAAGGCCCCATAGTAGTTCCTTTTGGGATGACCCTATAGGATTATAAATATGAAGCCCAAAAAGGACCTATGTTGGGGCCTTAGGGTACTGAAGCCCTAAGCCCTAAACCCTGCACACGGCCAGCACTCACCGGGCCAAGAGTAAGTCATAAGTGGTCCACGACTGGTCGCCCAAGATGTGCCTCTGCGCCGAGTGCAAAGAACAGGGCCCTTCAAAAAAGCCTTGAAGACGAACGCCGCGACGCCTTGAACCCCTAGTATGGGGTTTACCTTAACCCCAAATAACCTACCTTTTTAGGGACTTATATAAAGAAATCATATTACGGCGCCCTAAAAAGGTAGGTTCCTCAGGGTCCAGGTAATTGCTTAGGGTTTAGGGTTTAAGATCTAGGGATCCAGGGTTTCCTAAACCCTAAACCTTACACCTCAAACCCTGAACCCTAAGTCCCAAACCTTAAGCCCTGAACCCTAAACCCTGCGGTTGATGATAGAAATCCTGCATTACCCATAATAAGGAGTGTAGTCTAGGGTCCTTAAGGTAATGCAGGATTTTTGTCATCCTTAATAAGGACCCCTAGGTATGTACCCTTAATATAGCTGTTATATATCCATTATATAGCCCATTATATGACAACTACCCATATTATAGTACCCTCATAGCATCCCTTATAGTAGCCCTTATAGACCCCTTTTCCGGGACCCTAATTTTGACAACTACCCATATTATAGTATATACCCTTATAGTATCCCTTATAGTATCCCTTATAGTAACCCCTATAGTAACCCTTATAGACCCCTTTAAAGGGACCCTAATTTTGACAACGACCCACGTCGCCCAGAGCAAGACCGACTCGGAGCTTTGCTGGCTGTCGGACGACGAGGAAGCGGCCTACGAGCCAGGGCGCTTTAGCTCCTGGGCCTCCAGTTTAGGGTCTTTTGAGGGATCCTTTAGGGTTTAGGGTTTGGGGTTCCGCGGGCTCCTTTAGGGTTTAGGGTTTAGGGTTTCGGGCTCCTTTAGGGGATCCTTGAAGGGTTCCGATGGGTTTAGAGTTTAGGGCGCTTTAGCTCCTGGGCTTCCAGCTTGGGGTTCTGCGGGTTCCTTTAGGGGATCCCCCAATTAAGGCTTCTTACAGATTTAGGGTTTAGGGGGTTAGGGTTTCGGGCTAGGGTTTAGGGGTTATGTTTAGCTCCTGGGCTTCCAGTTTGGGGTTCCGCGGGCTCCTTTAAGGGGATCCTTTAAGGGTTCCTATCGGTTTCGGGTTTCGGGCGCCTTGAGGGGATCCTTTAGGGGTTCCTATGGGTTTAGTTTCGGGTTCCTTTAGGGGATCCTTTAAGGGGTTCCTATGGGTTTAGGGTTTAGGGGGTTAGGGTTCAGGGTTTAGGCTCCAGGGGTGGCATGAAGGTAGGTGGTGGAATCTCAAATTAGCAGTGTCCTAATCCTTAGTAATCCCAATCGAAGGGCCTTTTTGCAGGTGGTTTTCGGGTTTAGGGGTTTAATTTAAGGGTTTGAGGGTTTGGGGTTTAGGGTTTGGGGGCTTAGAATTTAGGGGTTTAGGGTTTACGGTTTCATACTTTGTTTGGGGGGGTTGGAGGGTCTCAAGAGCTGTGGGTGTCTATGACTGAAGGGGCTGGACTCATGTGGGTAGTTGTCAAAATTATGATCCCTAATTGGGTACCCTAAATCTTAGGTGCCGTATTACAATAAGGACCCAAAAAGGGACCATGATTTTGACAACCACCCATGTGCACGAGCCCACCGGCTTCATGTGAAGCCGAAGGATCCGCGAACTCAGAAACCGACAGCCCCAAAGGACCATGAGCTGAATAGCCCGAAACCTGAAACTCTGACCTCCAAAAACCAAAAAACATCCCGCAAGCCTCATAAAGCTTTCTTTCGAAAAGCCTTATACATTCGTCTACCAATCATAGAAAGAACCCTCAGAAACAACTAAGAAAAGGGGGAAGCCCCAAACCCTACGCCGTAAACCCCAAAGCAAGCATCCAAAGACCTTAAACCCTAAACCCTAAACCCTAAACCCTAAACCCTAAACCCTAAACCCTAAACCCTACACCCCAAACCCTAAACCCTACACCCCAAACCCTAAACCCCAAGGCGACGAGAAGGCCAGCGAGTCCATCACCGCGCCAGCGCTGCAGGTGCCTTGGCGCTCCGTGGACCCGAACCCTAAGGGTCGCGGGACTTAGTAACTGGGTTATTTTCGGGACTTATAAGTACCATAACCCCAATTAGCGTCCCTTTTAGGTTACTTATAAGTCTACTTACTAACTACTTACTAAGTCCCCCGAACCCTAAGGGTCCATTATCCCTTAATTAAGGGATGTTCCTTAAATCATAAGAGGGATCCTACTACAATTTCATTCATATTCCATACTTAAAGCATATTGGAGTGGAGTCTCTGGAAACCCGAAGGGTCCAAGTAGTCCTAATTTATGGTTTTGGGTACCCGCAAGGTATAACAAGGAGTACTTGGACCCTCAGTGGAAGTCTTCCGGCTACGGTTTTTCGGGTTCTTTGTATGGCCTATACTAGGTTAGGAGAACTAGCCCTTGCCCATTTTCAGACTGGGCAGTATTTGCCCCGGTTGACAAGAACCAGCACATGCCTATACTCTCCTTGTAAGACCCGGAAGCTTCCAGCAAGAATCAGAACCCCGGATAGAAGCAATGTAGGGGCCTGAAGAAATTGAATCGGGCTTGTGGTCAAATTCTATTATTATGAATATGATAAGGAACCCACCAAAATCCGATATTGGAACCCCCCAGGACGTCGGCAGAGGAAGTTCCTGAAACGGGTTTTGGTTTGGAGTTTGCGCGCCGCGTGTCCTGTGTTGGGACTGCGACTTCTTCGAGTTCGTTGGTGTATGATGGCAAAGCTCCCGGAAAGAAGACATGACAGGACCATGCTGGCGATGGCTGTGTGGTTGAGTGTGAATTCATGTGATTGCGCTCGGAGAGACTTCGGTTTTCTTCGCAGTACAGTCATGCTTCATGTTCTACGGACTCTCATTTTGTCATGAGTGATGTTTGCAGATCCCAGTGAGCAGTGATAAGTGACACTGCGCGTCAGCAGTGTTCAATTGAAGCGGCCGAGAGGCCAGGGGTCCGAACCGCGAAACATTTTGCTGCTTTCTTTCGGGTTTTGAGGTTGGGCTTTCCGTAGAACCTTAGAGGGTTCAGGATTTCAGGGTGTTTAGGGCCTTTATCTTAGGGTATTAGGATTCAGTGCTTGAGTCCTGGCTGCAGCAAGGTATCCCCTGTGGACGAGCAGAGTGTAAAGTGTGAGGCTGGAGATGCATTGCACGGGCGATCAGAGTTAGTCAGGGCCTGGACCCTATAAAGCCCGACTTACTAGTTTGATATCCTAGTTATATAAGTCCTTAAAAGGGTAGGCTATTTGGGGTCCAGGTGGTCCTGAGAACAGTTGCAGATCTCTCCGGAGGGGTTAGACCGGCAATTGAGACCCCGCGTGGATAGCTATCCATTGAGGAAATTTCGTTTGGGGTGCTGCAGATCATGCGGGCTTGTGCCTCCCAACCGTAGCACACGGGGCTCTAACCGTGCAGCCAGAAAGCCCTCAGCCCAAAAGGCCCTCTCAACACGAAACGCGAAACTGCAAGACCCTGAGCCTCCATACCACTTAGCCCTAAATCCCTAAACCTCTAAGTCGGGCGTATTCCAAACCGAGGACCTTAACAGTAGAGGCCCTGCTTGAGTGCTCAGAGAGCTCTTTGCAAGCGGGTCGTAAGTAGACTTCTTAGTAGTATAATGCTAGTTAGGGTACATGTAAGCCGTAAGCCTACTCGTCCCCAAGCCTGATGTACGACCCTGAGCCTCTAAGTGCAGAAGGGACCGCGGCAATCTTCTCCGGAGAGGCTTTCGCGTGCCAAGGCAACCGACCAAGGGATCTTACGTGGCTGGGGGTTTTCAATTACGCAGGATGGGTTCGAAGGGGTCCAGGGGATTTTTGCTGGGTTTTGAGTGGATAGTCTTTCAAGCAGTTGGGTTGTTTGTTGAGGAGTTTGCGGGGGGACTTAGGGGATCTACAAACACACAAGCAAACATGCGTAAATACGTATTAATATTTTCCTTAAGGATAGTATAATATTTTCCTGAAGGATAGTATAATATACCCAGAACCCTATTCTAATGGTTAAGGCTCCTATATTACGGCTTGGAAATGTTGCGCTCAGGTGCTTTTTGTGGGCTCCTGGTTCGCGTTTAGGGTTTTGTTTAGAGCATTTGTCGAGAGCACGACCAGACAGGCTGACATTGGATCTGTAGGGTTTAGGGTGCAAGGCCGTTTCTTGAGGGTTGGGCTGGGAGGTTGTCGGCTCTTGCTTTTTTTGGCTATGGAACTGCTGCAGCGTCCCATCACAACCCCAAAAGCATAACTAACCCTATCCCACACCCTAGTTCCTAAACCCCAAACCCCAAAACCCGTAAACTCCTGAACACTAAAACCCCCCCCAAAACCAAACCCTAAGCCCCATAATCCACTTTGTGAATTCTTTTGGTCCCCAACATAGTACGGCTCCCGTATAAAAGAAGCCTAAAAGCGACCCTAACTAAGAGAATTACCTATATGGTATCTCATACTATGATTATTTATGATAGGAACCCTACGGGATGGAATTGGTAATTATTTTGGCTTCTATATGAAACGCTAAACCCTAAACCTCAAACCCCAAAACCCTAAAGCCTAAACCCTAGACCCTAAACTTCAACATAAGCTCTTGTCGGGAATCCCTCTGAAGGCTCGCCGGCCGGCTACCATCTGCTTGGAGTCCGCGCTGAGGCGCGCACCTGGGCCTTGGGGCTACTTGCAGGTTGGGGTGTAGGGTTTCATGGATTGGTGCTTGGGGTTGAGGGTTTAGGGATCAGGGTTTAGGGGTCCATGGGTTGGGGCTTGGGGTTGAGGGTTTAGGGGCTTTAGTGTTTTAGGAACTATAGGGTTTAGGGTTATCATTATCAGGTTCTACAAAGGTTGGGGTAGTGCAAGGTTGTTACAGGGTTTGATTAGGATTCAACCTTGAAAAAGGAACCCTAAACCCCTAAGCCCCTCAACCCCTAGAGCCCTAAACCCTAAATGCTACACCCTAAACCCTAGAACCCTAAACTCCTAAACTCTAAGATCCTTAAGCCCAAGACCCTAAACCCCTAAACCATAATCCTTACAAGGACCAAGTAAGCTCCATGACATCCTATTGTCTGTTTCAGCCGCCAGGTGCGACGGCTGTGCTTCCAGTCCACAGGTGGATTTACGGGTTCAGGGTTCAGGGTGTAGGATCGCCGGGAGGCTGTCACGTTTGGGGGGTGTCTTTTTGCCTTTGTGCATAAGGTTTCTGGTATAATTAGGGAGCTTTCAGCAGCCATTCGGTCTAGAGCTTTGGTCAGGGCTGGGAGCGGTGGTATTGTAAGTTCTGCGGGGTTCATCGAAGGCTGAGGAGAAGTTTCGTAAACCCTAAGCCACATAGCCCTAAAGCGGAAAGTAAAACACCCCTACGCACGAAGCCCTGAACCTCCGAAGCCCTCAACCGTAAAGCCCGAAGAACCCTCCGAAGCCATTAGGGCAGGTTATCTGGATTCGGTTTGGCACCGGCATTCGCGGATCACTTCTATTGCAGGGATTGGGGTGAGGGGTGTAGGGTTTAGGGTTTCGTGCTCAAGGTGTAACATGTGGGGCTGAAGCTTCAGGCACCCTAAGACCTGACCTTGAACCGCATGTGGCGTTGACTGGTGGGTTCCTTCATCGGGCTGAAGATGGATGATCCTTGCTTGATCCCACCTAGTTCAGGGGACTGAAGAATTGCTAATGCTATGTTATGCCTCCCTACATATTTGTAGTATAATGTGCCCCATGACCCATTCTAGCTTTCAAGACCGCCATATTGCAACCCGATAGAATCCGCCGCTGCAAACACATTGTGCAAAGCCACTTAAGAGCCCCCTAACAAGCCCCATTCTATCCTAATTATCGCCGCCACATTAAACCCTAAACCGGTAACCCTAATAATCTACTGGATTTCAGCTCTGATGTCACTTTCAGCTTGCTTTCGGCTTGCGGAAGGCATCGAACTACATCGAGAAGACAACAGTGGCTCGTCCGAGGATGTATCAGAAGGATTCAGGTGCTTTCGGGAGTTAGTGGCCGCAACTATGCCTCAAAACCCGAAACTTAAACCTCATCTAAAACCTAAGCCCGGGGCCTTAATAATTACCTATACTTTGGAGGCTCCTTATTCTAATTATAGCCGAATATAGCCCCAAAACCCTATTTCAATTATTGGGGCCCCCATATTACTTGGGCTTATGGCTTGGGTCTTAGGTCTTGGGGTTGTAAGGGTTTAGGGTTTAGGGAGTTTGAGGAATCCTGGTTTTTGTTGCATTTCAAGGGCGGTGCCTATCACAACCCGGGAAATTAATTAAGGCTTAAGCTTGGGATTCAGAGTCTCGAGCTACGGCTCTGCGGGCTTTGAGGGTCCTTCAGACCGAAGGTAGCAAACGCTGGCGATCCAAACTCAACCCAGGACTCCACTCAGAGAACCGAATACCCCTTATTTAAGGAATATGCCTTAAATCATAATATTAAGGCACCTACTATTTAAGGTATATTCCTTAATTGAGGGGTATTGGGTTCTCTGGGCAAGACCCTAGGCCCTAAATCCCGGAACAGCCGACGCTCTAGTCTCTCCGCACTGCTTTTAAAGACAGAGTCTGCGGGTGAAGGTTTGCGTGACTTGTTTTCTGACGTTGCCGAAACAGGAGCTTGTAAGACAGATCCGTGATAATAGGATCCTCATAAGGAACCCACCTTTCCCACAAGAAAGACTTCATGTTTGCAGAAAGTCGGCAATTCACGTAGCCCGAGAATGTACAAGAAGTTTGTTGTTGCACTGGAGGTTATGCTCCGGAATGTTCCCAACAACTACACGAGGCACATGGTGGGGATGGGGAACGGTCCGAGGCGAGCCTGTGGCTAAAGTGTCCTTTTGAGGCCGTTTGCGGTTTTCGAAGAACCAGGGCCTGTGGTTTGAGGGGCTTTGGGGTGCTGAGGAGTCGTAGTATTAGTAGTACTTCGAAATTGTAGTCCTACTACTACTACTACTCCTCCTCCTCCTCCTCCTGCTGCTGCTGCTGCTACTGCTACTGCCACTGCTACTGCTACCGCTACTGCTACTGCTGCTGCTACGACGACGACTACTACTATTACTACTGCTGCTTCTTCCGCTCTTAGCATAGTACTCACAAGATGCCTCTGAGTCGCAGGGAGATGTTTCTGGCCATGCTGGACGAACACGGCTTCCGCGGGCGTTACGACTTTGCGCCGCCAGTTCCGAAGTTAGGTGGGTTTGTCGAGAAGTCAGCGTGGAGGCTACATCAGTCCATCTAGAGATCAACGCTTTATGGAGCTTTGCAGGTTGGACTTTTGATTTAAGTGTCTTTCAAAGTAACGGGCCATTGCGAACACACTTCCTTGAGGAGATGCCCTACTTTGGGGACAGGTCGTTTGAACAACTACCCGGCGGTGCAGCAGTTCAGTTTTTTTTTTGAGGGTGGAAGCTTTGTATATTTGAGCGGTTCTGTCGCGTCTCCATTTATGGCTGGTCGGCTCGGCGTTGCGTTGCTTTCCGTTCATCTGGCGCAGTGAGGGCTTGGCGTGGCCACCTTGCCAGGATTGTCCTTCTTCTCTTCGCCTGGTTTTCTTCTAGCTAAAGATGGTCTTCAAGATGTTCCAGCACCATTTTCTTGTCGCAGTGGGCCGTGGGAGGAAGGAGCCTAAGTTACGGCACCTCTGGGCAGTGAGAGGGTCTGAACGTTGAACCTCCCCGAGCATGAGGAAACACTAAACCATACTCGTCTCAGGTTGTAAGATGAATGAAGCTTCATAAACCCAACGACTGCGAACCCCCCCAAACCCTTGCATCCCAAACCATCCTCCTCAGAATCAAAGGCCCTATATCCTAGGCCCTAGGCCCCACCCTCTGTTTTATCCTACACCCTGTATCCCCGAAGTTCTAGACCCTGAGTTGAAATCTTGAATGCCCTAAAGTCTCAGATGTACTGGCCTGACTTCAAGGTACCTGCCTTGTGATTTCCACCGCCGAGCGAGACTTCGCTGCAATGTCTTGTGCCTGCTATCATACTATTTTCATTCCTGCAATATCTATGCTCTAGATGCCCTATCCCTTAAAATTCCTTAAGCCCTAAACCCTAAATACCCTAAGCCCTAAACCCTAAATGCCCAATCCCCTAAATACCCTAAAGCTTAAATACCCTAAACCCTAAACCCTAAATGCCCTACACCCCAAACCCTAAACCTTACATACCCTAAGCCTTAAACTCTACATAATTCCCATAATTATTACCAATTTCAGACCTCAGGGCTCCTGGGTATAGCTCTACTATAAACTATACAGTAGAAGCCAGAAAGTTGGAACATGATTATCCTCATTCCGTAAAGACAATGTAGAGGGAATCCTAGCACTAATCATCCTAAACTCATGTTCCAACTTTCTGGGGTTCACTATAAACTAACCTAAAGGAAGCGGAGGCCACAAGCAACAAACGAAGAGCAAGGACACACCTGGGCAGCCTAGATGATCGAATCAACAGCAAGAACAGCCTAGATAGGGGTACCTTAGGGTTCCTTTAAAGGGTGATAAGGGTACTATAAGGGCTCCTTTAAAGGGCTCTATAAGGGTTTATAGAGTTTCCGAAAAGAAGGGGTGCCATAAGATGAAAAGACAGCAGGAACGGAGAGTAGCCCCGAAGCTCTAAACCCTAGTTCAGGGTGCCGCCGTTGAGAGGCTCGTTGGTTTAGGGCTGTCTCAATACCACGGGCCTTTGTTGACAGATCTTTATAACAAGGATCCTGCGGTGGACGATGGACCCACAGATCCCAATAACCCTTAGTTAAGGAATATACCTTAAATGAGAATATTAAGGCCTCTATAATTTCAGGTATATTTCATAACTCCCCTGTAGAACCCTTATAGATCCCTTTAAGGAACCCTGAGGTATATTCCTTAATTAAGGGGTATTGGGTTCTCTGGGGAGGTCCCGATAGAACCCATACAACGCCCCTAAGTCCCGTCTAAACGTGAGGCTCCTGTAGTGTCTTTAAACTCAGTTTTAGGGTTTAGGGTTTATAGGGTTTGCCTCAACCCCGCGTAACCTACCGTTTTAAGGACTTGTATCAAGAAATCATATCAGGGAACCCTAAAAAGGTAGGTTCCTTAGGGTACAGGTAGGATCTAGGGTCTAGAGTTTAGGATTTAGGATTTAGGGTTTTAGGGTTTAGGGTTGATCATCCCTTGTGACCCAAACACAGAAGCTTCTCGATATAAGCCCTGTCTGAACAACAGAGATCGGAGGATTTCGGCTTCCATGTAGCCGATTGAAATCAACCCCATAATGTATTATGTGCCAGCGCTGAAACCCCCTAAACCCTAAACCCCTTCAACCCCTAAACCCCTAAACCCCTTAAGCCCCAAACCCCTAAAACCTCAACCCCTCCTGCATGCTCCCAGGAATCTGGGTTACGCCTTTGTCAACTTCGTGAACTGCGAGGCCTTTCGTTGAGGGTTTTGGCTCCAGGGTTTAGATTTTTCGGCTTTGGGTGTGGTACGGTTGCTGATATAAATCCTATACTTCCCAGAATATGGAATATACCATTATTCCCATAGTTTAGGGTCCTTAAGGTAATGCAGGGCTTCCATCATCAACAGTAGGGTTCGCAGGATGTAGAGCTCAGGGTTTAGGATGTAGACTGTAGGGTTCAGCCTTTTGAGTTTAGGACCTAGGATTCCGGGCTTAGGGACCCAGCATTGCTCATCAGCTTGTTTAGGGTCCAGAAAGTTGGAATATGGTTTCAGGGTAGGATACCTTATAATTTACCATATGTAAAGTGTTTAGGATAATCATATTCCAACTTTCTAGCTTTTACCTTAGGGTGTAGGGTTTAGGGTTTAGGGGCCCGAACTTGCTGGGCTATGTGTGTCCGTTGTTTCTCCCTAGGTTTTCGTAGTTCGTTCTCGAGAGCCTTTGAAATGCGACTTTACATGTGGCAGAGGCAACTTGAGCCCTAAACCCTAAACCCTAGACCCTAAACCCTAAACCCTAGACCCTAAACCCTAAACCCTAAGCCCTAAACCATAACCCCTAAACCCTAAACCCTAAACCCTGAGCGTCGTCCTTCGGTCCCCAGATCGATGATTGGTGCAAAGTTGGGGTGGTTGTCAACATGATGGTCCCTTTTGGGTCCCTATTCTAGTGCGGCACGAGAGAAAGACGGGGCTTTAGTTAATTTTTGCCAATTGCAATTGCTGCAGCTGGATCGTTGCAACAAGGAGCACCACTGAAGGGACCCTCGTCGAGGAACCCTCCCTTCTTGAGATCCCCTTAAGTACCAGTACACAGGTTGAACAGCAGAGATACAGACGCTTTTCGGTATTGCACGTGCGCGCAGGAACCGTCGTGTCGAAAAGACCCTCAACTCCAAACCCTAAGCCCTAAACCCCAAACCCCAAAGCCTAAACCCCAGACCCTCAACTCCAAACCCCCATATCCGAACCCGAAGCCGCCATATGAGAGTTTCCGAAAATTAGGGGTACCCAATTTTGGGACCCTTATAACAAGGATCCTACTAATTAGGGTACCAAGTAAGGATCTCCTATTTTCGGAAACTCCCATATAGGAAACCCCAGACCCCAAACCTCTGTGATAACAACTGCATCCCCTCTTGCTAGAATTTTTGATGGGTAGTTGTAGACACGGGTTCTGCTGCCTCAATCTTGAAGCTGTAGTTCGCCTCATTATATCCGTACTAACTAAGTCCCGCCAATACATTCCCAAGCCCTGAACCCCCGACTAACCTGCAAGCCCCAAGCCTTAAGCCCAACCCTAACCCGAAACCCTTGAAGGACCCCTTTTTATGAGCCCCCAAAACCCTATCATACCTGAATCCTAAACCCCAAAACCATGAACCCAACACCTGCAAACCCCAAACACTAAACCCAAAACCCCAAAGCCCTGAACCTGTGCTGAGGTGGGAGTTTCCGAACATAGGGGACCTTAATATAGCACCCTACATAGCAGGATCTTTATTCTAAGGACCCCAGAATAAGGTACCCGCCATTTTGGGAAATTCTAGGTGGCTTTGGCGGCCTGGCGCCGCTTCGACGGCTTCTCGGAGTGGGCGCTGCCCAGCCAGAAGGTGCGGCTCTGGTGCTTAGGGTTTTGGGGCTCCGAAAAAGGGTTTAGAGGTTTCGGGTTTAGGGCTTTAGGGTTTAGGGCTTTGGGTTTTGAAACTGGGTCTCCTAAAAAGGGATCCTTTAAGGGTTCCTCTCGGTTCGGCTTTCGGGCTTAGTGTTCAGGGTTTTAGGGTTTATGGCTTTAGGGTTTTATGGTTTTGGAGCTCCGAAAAGGGGTCCTTTAAGGGTTTACGCGTGCCTTAAAAAGGGGTTTGGTCCTTTCAAGGTCCCATAGGTAGGGGTTTATAAGGGCTTCGTGTTTGAGTTTAGGATCTCCGGTTTAGGGGTTTGGGCTCAAGGTAGGGGGGGGCCAAACCCTAAGCCTGAGGAGGAGGAGGAGGAGGAAGAGGAGGAGGAGGAGGAGGAGGAGGTGGGAAATTTTCCGGAGTTGAAGGTTCGGGCAGATCCTTGACGTGGCTGAAAGTAAACCGCGCCAAATCCTAAACCCCAAACCCCAAACCCTAAACCCCTAAACCCTAAACCGAAGCTCCTGACATCCAAAGGCCTCGAGTTCGAAGTTTTCAGGTACGTAACATACATAGAGCTCTGGGTGGTTGCAAATAACGTCCCCTTGTAGTCCTCGTTACGATAAATGCACCCGAACGCAGTATACATCGACATATTAGAGGACCCCTTGCTTGGGGCTGGTTGTGCAGACTTTCGCCTGCCCCTGCAAGGTCTGCGCTGTCAGTTGGAGCGGCCCACATCAAGGAGCATGAAGCCTGCAAAATGCCCAACAGTTGAAAAGACAAAACAATCATAACTCCTGAGCACAGAACCCGATCCTCGGACCATTTATATGTCTGCTCCGAAGCTTCAACCAGCCCCTTGTTATGCCCAGTAGTCTTGTTGCTAAACCTAGTATTGCTGTATTGTCATGATGATTCGTCCGCTGAAGGTCTTCGCGTGCTACCAGTACGATTTATGCTGTTCGTTTCCCGTTGTGATACTTCACCACCCCAGCTCTGTTCTGACGACAATGGCCAAGCTGATTTTTGTTGCAAGTGTGCGGTGTGGCTGTGGCAGGTCTTGTCGCTGCCTGTGTTGGGAGCATCGCGGGAATGCCTTAGCTACATATGAGATATGAGCCGGAGGAATCATCACGTCATTTTCTTCCTGCGGGTTTCTGTGCGGTTTTGTCCGGAAGAGACTTCTCAGTTCCATTGTATAAGCCCCCTACCGGCAGAGGCTTTCGGGTTGAGGATTTAGGCCCCCTCTGCCCCGACTGACAACCCGAAAGTAATTATCCTTGATCCCGGTTGCTGCGGGCAGGACTTGAACAGCACGTGGAGCGCTATCGCAATTCCCCCGTGATGCACAAGAGCGTTCCTGATGAGTGCATCTGCCCGAGGGTTGAACGCGTGTGTTCTCGGTTGCAGGGGTCCAGGGTTCGGTTTAGGGTTGTTGTTGTAGACGGGCAGTTCTTTAAATTAGGGTCCCTTGAAGGATCTATAAGAATTTCTATAGGAGTTCTAAAAGGGTACTATAAAGGTAGTTCTCTAAATCAGGGCGCCTTCCGGTCCTTTTTATCAGGATGCCGTACTACTTTTGGGACCCTGAAAGCAACCCTAATTTAGAGAACTACTCAAACCCCAAGCCTTCAACCCTGGCCGAAGGTACCGCCCAGTGGTTTTCCAGAATGGCGTGCGCCAGAGGTTTCCGTCGCCGACCAGGTCCCTGAAAAAGCCGGATCAGGCCTGCATTGGGTTTTAGATGGGGGCATTAGAATAGGGTTTTGGAGCGTATGATACTATAAATAAGTTTAGGCCCCTATAGTATCTACTTCTGGAGTCCCAAAACCAAAACTATAGACGATAGTCTGGTTCCAAATCCCCCTAAACCCTAAACCCTAAACCCTAAACCCTAAACCCTAAACCCTAAACCCTAAACCCTAAACCCTAAACCCTAAACCTTGAACGAACCCGGACCCACAACCTAGAGCCCCTCATGCAGGTCCTCAAGCGCAAGCAAAAGCTCGAATTACTAAGCCCCACACCCGAACAGCCCACATAAGTCCTGACAGCAGTCTATAACTGACCCCTTAGATACTCCACAACGCCCTCAAGCGGTGTAGATATTTACGTCGTCCCTTCCGCTATTTCCCTGCAGTCGCATCGCAGCCGTTGAGGCTACATGGCAGAAGGCCTGGCAGGGAGCATATATGCATATCCATCTATCTATCTATACATATATATGTATACATATATGTATGTATATATATATATATATATATATATATGGGGACAGAGAGAGAGAGGGAGAGGGAGAGAGAGGGAGAGAGAGAGAGAGAGGCCTTCAGAGCTCGACCAGGATTCCTCAAAAGGGCTCCTTTACAGAATTCCCTTGGCAGTTTTCTGTAGGGGGTTCCACAAAGCCTCTGTGAGATAGTGGCATTAGTAGTTAGAAAAGAGTTTCGGATGTAGTTTCAGGCTACGGAAATTGCAGCCTGATCCCATAACCCGACACCAAGCCTCCACTTATATGTGTGTGTATATATATATATACACATATTTGTACATACATACATACATACATGCGTACGTACATATATATATATATACACACACGCACTCATGCACTTATTGCCAGTCTCCGTGTCCGGTTCCGTCTGTGTCTCCGTCTGTGTCTCCGTCTGCGTCTCCGTCTACGTCTCCGTCGCTCTCTCTCTCTCTCTCTCTCCCTCTCTCTCTCTCTCTCTGATCTGTCTCTCTCTCTCCCTCTCCCTGATTTCATCTCAACCCGATTCCAGGTTTCCACAGTCGGTGCCTGATTCTTACGGGGAGCTGAATTTCTGTATGATATGCCCGAAATCGTAAACTCTACATCCTCATTAGGGTTTAAAGGATCAGGGCGATTAGGGTGTATGATTTCGGTTTCAGCTCCCTACAAACTGAACACAATATTCTAAATCCGTATCAAACGCCATTGAAGGGAAGGATTCTCCACCACCCCCTCACCCCAGAAGCATCAAGCCGCGGAACAGCTCCAACCCTAAGCCCTGTAACCCCTCCTTAACCCCAATCCCTGAACCTTAAACCCTAAACCCCAAACCCAAACCCCAAACCCCAAACCCCATAAACCCTATACCCCAGAACCCCAAACCGCTAAACCCCCAAACAACTAACCCCTGGACCCTAGACCCTAATGAAGCACAGCAGGAAGCGTGATGAAGAAATTTTTTAATGTCCAAGAAACACCTAATTTTTAATGACATCTTTTCTACCTTTTGGACCCTTGGGAATTTCGCTCTTATTTTGCTTTTTTCTTTTGCCTTAAGCTCGCGTACATTGAATTAAGGGCAAAAGGAACAGGAGCAAAGTACTCTCTTCATAGGAGTCTTACCATTAGAAAATACCTGTAGAATGTTATAGGAGACTTCCAGATGGTAGAGTTTCCATCATATTTGAGTAAGATCCTCCGATAGAATCTTCTAACTAAATTTGCAGTCACATCTTGGTGGGTTTTATTTGCGACCGACAGAGTCTAGACAATCACAAAACTCGTCGTCCCCCGGCTGCTCCGAGCCCTTGGAGTTCATCATTGGTTTCATATGGATCTGCACGAGGCCGCGATTTTGGTGATCGGCATGTTGTGCTTCATGGCGTCACGAAGGCGCTGGAACAGACACCTGGAGCCTCCTGCTGATCTCCTCAGCCCAACCGTAACGAGCTGAGGGACAACATCCGTGCATGGTTCAGCTACGAGTTGCAGGCGCCGCAGTACTCACAGGCGGCGTCCTCAGACGCCCCACCTGCGATCTCGAGAGCTCCAGCGACGAACGACACTATGATTCTTCATCCAACTGGCAAGGCCCCACGGTCATGGAGGCCCAAGATGCAGACAAACGTTGATGGGAGCTTATGTCAGAGCTCGTGAATCAACACAGCTGGAAACTCGACGACGCCTTGCATGAGCTTTCAGAAGTTCGCTCCGACCTCAGCAGTGTTTCTCGACAATGGAGAATCGCTGCATGGGGACGATGCAGGAGCAAAGTGCAACAATGATATGCTGCGGATTGGTTTTTGTGCTGCAAGAGGAAGCGACATGCCATGCTGTCTATCTATCTATATATATATATATATATAGATAGATAGATAGATAGATAGATATCCCTTTAAAGGAACCACATAAACCCCTAAACCCTATAGATCCTTTCAAAGGAACCCTATAAACCCTTACAGATCCCCTTTAAAGGAACCCTATAAACCCGGTCCGTGCAGGCCGACATGCATGAACAAAGTTTTCAGCCAAGCGCCTTCCTTTGCGAAGCCGGGGGGCCTGGCACGGGATCTTTTGGGGTTTATAGGTTGCCTTTAAAGCGGCTCTGTAGGGGTTTGTAGGGTTCCTTTAAAGGGAATCTATAAGTGTTTATGGGGCTTAGGGTTTAGGGGTTTTAGGGGTTCTAAAGGAGTTTAAGGGTTTAAGGGCTCTAGCAGTTTAGTGGTTCTACGGAGTTTAGGGGTTTAGGGGTTTGGTTGTTTAGGTTTTAGGACTCAGGGTCTAGCGTTTAGGGTCTAGGCGATGTTGCTCTGGAGCGCGTGCCCCTCGTCCTGGCAGCCAGACGCCCGCTATGGCAGGGCGACGGACAAGACGACGGGCTCGCAGTGGGTTTAGGGTTTAGGGTTTACCCACAGGCTCCAAAGTAGTTCCTTTTTGGGGTTCGTATATAGAATCCTATAAGGTAATCCCAAAAAGGAGCTACTATGGGGCCTCTGGGTAGGGCCTTGCTGGTGCTGCGTCGCTTGGCGCCGCCTGTGAAAGGCTGGACGCGCGCCGTGCCCTTGCCCTTCCATGCGTTCGCATCAGCAGCTGCTGCTGGGTAGCGTTGCTTCCCAAAACCTGAGCGTGGCAGAGTTGCCGACTAGAACGTGCACCACGGTCCTCCTCGGACGTGCTTCGGAATCGCTGCTTCCATTGGAGGCTCAGTCTTGTGCACACTCTCTATGCGATTTCGACTGCCGATGACCCCTCCTGCCTGCAAAACCCTTGCGTGGGACACCTCTGAAAGGCGTATTACCGGGTTCCTTTAAGGGTTCTTGTAAGGGATATTATAGGGTATGTCATGCCAGGACGTAGACAAGAATCCTGCGTCACAGCCCCGAATGTGAAGGGAATGGGCTTCAGGGTTTGGTGGCCGGGTGTTCAGGATTTCATGTGGCATTTGGGATGATGCTTCTTGGGTTGGCCTTTGGGGTTCAGTTTTAAATGTATACCCTGAACCGTACGGTACTTTTGGGTTCATCCACCTCTTAGTAGCTGATTGGATGCACTTTACACTTTTTGGGATAATACTACCCACTATAAAACTGAAAGTGTACACTTTTGGGGCTTATGAGCTCAGAAACTTAGGCCTTAGTTTTGTGAAACTGCCAGATCAGAGTTTCCGGAGTAAAGGGACTTTTCAGTAGAACGCCGATGCCCTCCTGTCAAGAACCCCCGCCTAAACCCTAGGCCCTAAGCCCAGAGCGCAAAGCCCTGTGCCTTGAACCCTGAACCCGCCCTAAACCCTAAACCCTAGACCCTAAACTCTAAACCCGATAACATTACAGAGAAGATTAGCATGGCGCCTGCGCAAGGATGACACGCACAAATCGAGAAGTGCACCCAAAAACAAATCCTAAACTCTAAAATTCAAGACTTTAACCTTCCCTGCCGAAGGATGGTCTTGCACGCATAGCGGCAGAGCTGACGGCACCTTGGTCAGAGCTTCAGTTTCAACGTCGAGGGGTGGGATTTGGGTTTAGGGTTACTATAAGTGTTGCTACAAGGGCCACAGGGTTTCGGGGTTTGGGATCTAAATCTAGGAGGTGACAGGAAGTTGGACAGTATGGCGCATTAAGATGTCAGTCATATTAGGTTTCTTGTCGACGGTTCCACAGACCAGAACCTCAGGCCTTTGCCAACTTATTTTGAATTCCGTGTGCTGTGGTCTTGTATTCAGTACGAAGTATCTCGTGCTACATGGTGTGTCGTGTCGCACTAGGTTAGCCATGCTACTCTCACGCTCCTATTGGCGAACCGGTTTCAGCTCAGCTTTCTTTCTCTAGATCGAATCTTCTGGGTTTTCAGCATGTTCTACCATTCGTCTACCTTGCACTTTCAGTTCCGGCCGTATGTTTCACGGCTGCTGAATGCAGAACATGACCTTCGGGTTCCTTTTCCCCATCCGAAGACCATCGGGCACTAATGACTCGGTGCGACCCAAAGTTGCAACATTCTCCCTTGTTTGAGTGCCTCTCACGAAGTTCTTTCAAGTCTTACGCTGTCGTACTATCTGTCCGCTTTTGTTCTTGTATGGCTCTGCTCGTGTTTTCCATCCTTACCTTGTTTAACTTTCGCAGAGAGGATGAAGACCAACATATGCGTTTTTGTGTTGGCCTTTTAAAAAACCGTTCACAACTTAAATGCGACACTTCACAGCTTTTGGGGCTGTGGATTCATTGTTTGAGGGGCCTGAATTTGGGCCTGTAGAAGGAGGTTAACTATCAGAGCGACCTACAAACTTGATTAGTCCTTCCCCTCTCATGTTTGCCGGGATATGGGAAATTACATGTTTCAGACCAGCAGCCTCGTCGCGTGAACGATGCGACACAAACCTACAAACTTGTGAGCCGCAAAACGTAAAGTTCTACGTTCACGAGCAGTTGAGCTATCAGCCCGGAAACGCCAATCATCAACTCTCCACTCTACCCATAGGCCCCAAACTAGTTCCGTTTTGGGATTACCTTACAAGATTCTAAATATGAACCCCAAACAGGAACTACTTTGGGACCTTAGGGTAGAGCCCGGAAGCTGAAACTAAAGCCCAAATCCCAAGCAAGCTTCCCAGGCTGCGTCAGTCATGGATGGGTTTGAGCCTGCCAGCGGTTCCTTGGAGACAATCACCGCTACACCCTGAACTATCCAGGTGTTAAGGTTTCTTGTCGTGTGTTTGAGGTTTCAGTGGACGCCTCCTTAACACTTTTCTAAGCCGTGTGTTTCCCGGAGGCAAGCCGCATCCAGGGAAAAGACAATTTAGCTGGTTTCAGCTTGTACAACGAGAAAGAGTAGAGTAGAGAAGAGTAGAGTATGTTAGACTAGGCTGCAGTTAGAGTAGATATCGGTCTGTCTGTCTCTCCGTCTTTCTG